GTCCGTTCCGCTGATGTGGCCCTCCAGGAATGTCCCAAGAAAGGTGAAGCTGGTCCTCCCCGTCCTCCGCACGACTGGTCTCAGGCTGTCTGCAATGAGGAAGGTCATCTGGCTCGCGTAAGTCTCCATTCTCCAGGACGCCAGCAGTCCGTTCCGCTGATATGGCCCTCCAGGAATGTCCCAAGAAAGGTGAAGCTGGTCCCCGTCCTCCGCACGACTGGTCTCGGGTTGTCTGCAGCATTTGGTAAGTGGCTTCGCGGGGCGTCCGTCCCGGTACTTTAAAGCTAACCCTGTCATCGGTAACAGCAATGAGAAGGGTCACGGTCGTGCGCTGTCCACAAGGCCAAGCAGGAGGCATGGCCGGACAGGCTGATGCAGGGAATGCGAATGGCGCAAATGATGTGGGAGCTGGTTGGGACAACAGCCCAACTTCCAACTCTACGCCTTCCGGCTGAGAGTCTGCAGAGACTAGGGAATCCACCTGGGATGGCGGGCAAGATGCTGCTGAATCTGCCTGGTAAGGACGTCCATGATTCAGAGACTCGGAGTCTACTTCCTACACAGAACGTGTCGATAGAATGAGCGAGCGAGCGAACATAATGAACATGGTCAAGAATATCAAACAAGATAATGTACAGCACAGCACAGTGAGACTTGCACCCTTGCTGCAAACCCCTTGTGAATTTCCAAGCTTGCAAACCTGCTCACTTGCCCACTCGCCCACTTACTCTCTCACTCTCTTGCTCTCTTGCTCTCTTGCTCTCTTGCTCTCTTCTCGCTCGTCCTTTCCAGCTCCACGGCTACGCACAGCAGCCTCTCTAACGTGTCAGAAGAAGCTGAGGCCAGGCCAGCCCGAGAACCAACCCTCCTGCCCTCCTTTCGGCCGGCCTCATCTCCTTGTCCGTGTCGACGATGCTACGTCGGATGCTTGGTGGCTCAATACTGGCCGCTGGCCGCTGGTCGGTGCCACTTTAGCCCTGCCTGGGTGACAGAAAGAGAAAGGATCAGGTTCGTCTTCTGCATCCCTTGCCAATACTCGAAGACTGAGACGTCTCACGCCATCAAGAACATCGATTGGTGCAACCCAGATTGGACTGTGAGAACGGTTGACATCACCTTCGACCAGTGGTCAGGCGTTCGTTGATGGCTACATGAAGGCCTTGGACGAAATATACGATCTACGACGAGGCGAACGAGGTCATCATTCTGTCTGATCGGGCTGCTGAGCATCTGAAGACAGAATGCATCCTCAAGATGACCCAGCAGGGGCTCATTGGAGAAGAGAAGGGAGTTGAAGCGTCCACACTGCATGCAAGGTGCGAACCGTCCGCTCTACCATCCCAGTTGCAAGTGCTGACAGTACAGACAGACCGTGCCATCCATCCATCCATCCGTCGATGACTCGCAAAGGCGAGCGAGTGAATATAGTAAACAAGACAACACAAAACAAAACACAGCACAACACAGCATATCACATCACAGTACAGCAAAGTCAGTTAGTGAGTGCCCTGGCCTGCACTGACTGCACTGAACTCCTTCAGTCCAATGATTGACAGATAAAGACGCAGACTCTCAAAGAACACCAGCAGCAACAACACCAGCAGCAGCATCACCACCCCCATCTCCACGTCCATGTTCCATCGTCACACTCGCTCACCGTTCAGTGCAGTCCTGGCCTGGTTGGCAGGGTAGGCACCCTCTGCCTGCTCACTCTACCTTCTTACCCTCTGCCATCTTGCCTTCTTTCCTTCTACCCTCTACCCTCAACCCTCTGCCCTCTGCCCTCTGCCCGCTGCCCTCTACGTCTCCAGAAGAAAGTCTTACTCGTCTCGCTGACGCTAGAGTTCTACTCGATCGTGGAGCAGACAAGTGCAACAACTGCGTACGTGCCCAGCCCACTGTTACTTGCTGCCTGTGTGGTGACTGTGGCCAAGCGAAGACTGACACGATGCTGTAGGACTGTCCAAACAAGGAGATTCAAGCCTGACGAAGACCATCTGACTCGAGATCTGGCTCAAGATTATCCCCAGCCTCAGCCTCGAAAGACGACTTGCAACATCTGCAACGAAGAAGGCCATCTGGCTCGAAAGATGACTTGCAAGACCTGTCTCAGCCTTGACAGTTCACTTGCAACTTCGGCAACAGGGAGGACCATCTGGCTCGTGATTGTCCGCAGCCTCAGCCTCGAAAGGTCACTTGCAAATTCTGCAACGAGGAAGACCATCTAGCCCGAGATTGTCCCCGGCCTCGACTGCAATAAGGAAGACCATGTGGCTCGATGTCCTGAGCCTCGAACGATGACTTGCAACATCTACCTCAGCCTCGACTTGCAACATCTGCACGGCAACGAGGCAGCATCTGCAACATGGAAGGTCATCTGCAACGAAGAAGGTCATCTGGCTCGAGATTGTCCTGAGCCTCAAACGATGACTTGTAACATCTGAGCAACGAGGAAGGCCATCTGCAACGTGATTGTCCTCGGCCTCGACTGCAACAAGGAAGACCATCTGGCCCGAGATTGTCCTGCCTCAACCTCAGCCTCGAAAGATGACTTGCAACATCTGCAACGAGACACCATCTGCAACGAGGAAGGCCATCTGCAACAAGGAAGACCATCTGAAACGAGATTACCCTGCCTCAGCCTCCTCGAGATTGTCCGCAGCCTCGAAAGACGACTTGCAACAACATCTGCAACATGGAAGGTCATCTGCAATGAGGAAGGCTATCTCCAACCATTCTCTCTCAGGACCATAGCTGTCCGTTCTGCTGATATACCTCACAGCTGCAAACAATGCCCACCACCCCACGCCTACCGGCCGCCTATCCTACCTTTAATCGGCCGGTCGTCCCACGAACCATAGTAGAGATTGCTCAAACATACAGAACAGCCTGTGAAAGAGATAGATACTTGATGGATACTTGACCCTGAGGCATGTGAAAGAGATAGATACTTGATGGATACTTGACCCTGAGGCATGTGAAAGAGATGGATACTCGATGAATACATGATTATGAGGCAAATATACAGCATGAGCTGTGGAAGAGATGGATACTTGATGGATATTTGACCCTGAGGCATCCTGATATCCATCCAAGCATCGTCCAGACCGTCGACACACCACCACGACCTCGACAAACTGCTGGACATCGACGAAGACCGGGGATACTCGGTATTAGACCGCTTACCAACATCCTGACGCCAGAAACTGTGTCGATCTCTCGCCAATACCGTCATTAAACCGTTCTGCCTGAAATCGGGCTCATCTAAGCGGCTCCGATCGTCACCCACGTCCCTCCCTACCTACGCCGGCACGGTTGACCACCAGCCCCATGCGTCCTCCGCCGGTACATGCGACTTGACGACGACGACGACGACGAGGGCTTCACGTCCGATTGAGCATGATGGGTCGTGGAGAGAGGTCGATAACACTCGAGGGTAAGTGGACGCCGACGCCGACGCCCACGGAAATCATCTCCGGTAACCACGCCGACGCCCATATCTACGGAAATCAACTCCGAGAATCAACTCCGAAACCAACTCTGACGACGCCGACGCCCACACCCACGCTCACACCCAAGCTATACATGTTGGGTTTGGCGTTCGGCCCGCTCAACATGGCGCCTCTGTCAGAGCTCATCGGCCGTCGTTGGTTGTACCTGGTCACCTCGTTCAACATGATTGCGTTCGCAGAGATATTCTGGTTCTTAGATCCAGTTCTACCTTCCCGGTCGCTCGCCTATCATCAAAGGGCGCAGAAGCTCCTGATGAACGAGTTCAAATTGACCATGGCGCTCGCCTAAATGTAAGTTCGGAGTTCAATGGTACCCGGTAGACGAAGACCCCCGGTGAATTATCAAACATATCATACACTCGAATGAGACACATTTGCTCTTGACTTGTCGAACCTCGGCCGGATTCACCGTGTGGAACGTGGTTGGGACTGATGGTAATAGCATATCTTGAGGCGGACCGGAGAGACCAGCGGATTGATTTTGGCACACTGTTTGTTTGCGTGAAATCAAATCCTGGAAGGAGGGAACGTAGTCCTAGCACCTGCGGGTGAGATGTCGCACGAAGGCTTTCTCTAAGTCCACATGGGTGATCCAAGTCCGTGTGGAAGGACATCTGGTCAGCATCGATGTATCCAACGCCAACGACATCGCAGACGTCGACCAGAGCAGACCAGGGCAGACCAGGCGGAGCAAGCGGAGCAGCCAGAGCAGCCAGAGCAGCCAGAGCAGCCAGAGCAGGAGAGGGTGTCAATGAATGCTGCGAACTGGGCCAGGACCACATTCCAGACCTCCCCAGGACTGTAATCCTGACAACAGTGCCGGAATGCCAGAGTGGGTCTGCGTCAGAAAAAATGCTTAGTTTGTGCGAGTGCCCTTGCCCTCTGCCTTCGCCCTTCCTTCTCCCCCTACCTTCTTGACTGCGAGTGTCGACAGAGACTGACTGACTCCCCAAGTTTCCTACTCTCGCTACACTGGCTGCATTCTCTGCACTGTTACTTGCTACTTATGCTGTGAGGAGGGTCCTTGTGTTCGTGACTGTGCCCAGGAGTGTGGTGGTCGTGCCAGCAAAGTCTGCGAGGCTGAGGCAAGGTGTGGCCTGTCCTGTCCCTACTGCATCGATGGCCAAACCAAGACTGACATGGTCGAAATCAGGAGATTCGAGCCTATCCGAACTGCGGTGACGAGGACCATCTGGCCCGAGATTGCCCTCAGCCTCGAAAGATGACTTGCAACACCTACCTCAGCCTCAACTTGCAACATCTACCCCAGCCTCGAAAGATGGTTTGCAACTTCTGCAACGAGGAAGGCCATCTGGCTCGACGAAAGAATACTTACAACATCTGCAACAACGCCATCTGGCTCGAGATTGTCCTCAGCCTTGAAAGAGAATTTGCAATATCTGGAACTAGGAAGACCATCTTCAATGAAGAAGACCATCTGCAACGAAGAAGACCATCTGCAACGAAGAAGACCATCTGCAACGAAGAAGACCATCTAGCTCGAGACCGTCCCCACTGCTCCCATGAAATGGGTACGCAAGAGGCGATTTGGAAGAACAAAACGAGGTAGTGTGGATGATATTGCAGCGGTTAAAAGGAGGGATCATGCTCTCCTCGAGGCCAACAAGGCGGACAAGGCGGCCCTTACTCCCAATATCAACTTCTGGACCATGATCCGCGTCTCGACGAACAAGGACACAGCACTGCACTGGAAGAGGTCGGCCAAGAGGATCTTGATGCACTAGACTGCATCTTCTTCGACGAGGATGCTACACCTGCCATGGACAACATCTACACACCAACGAGGAACACCATCTGGCTCGCGTAAGTCTTCATTCTCTCTCAGGACCTTAGCTGTCCGTTCCGCTGATGTGTCCCTGTAGCTGCGAACGATGTCCACTATTCTACGCTTGTTAGCCGTCCATCCTGCATTCAATCGGCCAGGTCATCCCACGCACCACAGCACAGATTGTCCAGTATACAGAACGAACTGTGAAAGAGAAAGGACAACCTTGATTCAAAGGCGGACTCTGCTTCAGGGCTGAACTCTGCTCTAGACTTGTGATTGCATCAAACTGGCGACGGATACCTAGCAGAAAAGCAAACGGTGCAACGGACGTTGGTACTGCTGGCTGGGACAAGACAACAACCGAACACCCAGCTCTGCTCCTTCTGGGTGGGACAACAACCCAACACCCAGCTCTGTACACGCCTTCAGAACACGCCTTGAAGCACGGACCACAACCCAACTCCCATTTGATCACTATGTCTACGTCGGGGATAAAGCTGGGAACTGCAGGGCGCTACAGGGTCAAAACGAAATGCAGGATCAGTTTGAGACTGCCCGACGGGCGCCACCTCCACCCCCAGCCGCCACGAACGGTGTCAACGGCGAGTATATATACAAATGGCATATCTCTACTCACGAACGGCCTGATCAACCTCGTTTCTTCCAAGAAGCCTCTCAAACGGCGCAGTGCAGGGCCTGCTGAACGGAGTGACCTCGACAGGTATAGCGCTGCATACAGCGCTCGCGCCGTCCAGTTTCGACGGCGATTGACGCCTCCAGCATTCCTAATTAAGAGAGGAAGACCATGTTTGATCACTGGGTCCACGCCGGGGACAAAGCTGGGGACCGCAGGGCGGCGTATAGCCGGCTCAACCCACTTGTCCCGACTCTTCTGCTTTGTCCTCGACCTGGAGGAACAGGATCGCCACCAGATCGTTACGGCACGGGTCGAGCCGCCGCTGCCAGCGTCGGCTAAAGGACTCCAAGAGACAGGAGGGATCTAGCAGGACAGGACTGGCTGCCAACCAGGCGAGGATCTCTCGATAAGAAATGGTCAACAGACGATGGTGCCAACGCTGCCAGCGCCACCAGCTTCGGCTAAAGGGCACCAAGAGACAAGTTGTTGGGATCTAGCAGGACGGAGGCTGCCAGCTTCAGCTAAAGGACCCCAAGAGACAGGACGTTGGAGGCTGCCAACCAGGCGAGAACTTCACCACGATGCGGAAGGCTTCGCTTGCGTCCAGACACATCGATGTTGACCAGATGTCCTTCGACACGGACTTGGAGAAAGCCTTCCTACCGCCTGCGACATCTCAACCGCAAGTGCCAGGACCACGTCTGGACTTCTCCCTTCCGAACAGCAGGACAGGGAGTGCCAACGCTGCCAGCGTCGGCTAAAGGACCCCAAGAGACAAGGTGTTAGGATCTAGCAGGGCAGAACCGGCGGCCGACCAGAGGATGGCCTCAGCAAGGACCCCAGAGACAAGACGCCAGAATCCAGCAGGACGGGAGGCTACCAACCAGGCCAGGACGCCAGAGACAAGACGTTGTATCCAGGCCCAGGACTGCAGTCCACAGAGACGACAGTCAAGACCTCGCCCTACAGGCCCCTGCGGTCGCGCAGAGTTCAAGTTGGTCGACTGGAATGACGTCCCCAGCCGCCCCGAACGCACAGCACGCCTTCTAGGTACAGTTGCACAGGAGATGGCCGCATTGAGTTGCGACCGAAAGACTCGGTCCTAGTCGCCACTCCAGGCAGTGTGAGACGCGACATACCAAGATGCTTCTGCCAACGGTACCGACGGCCAGGACAGCGAACACAAACCGCCTTCACAGGCTGGCAATAACGTTCTTCGCGCCCCTGGAAGTCAACAAGTCCGACTTGGAGAAGCTGGTCTCGCAGAAATACCCCAGCCGTCAAACAATGCCCCGGAGGGCAAGTGTGCAAGAGAGCAAGAGGGCAGGGTTGCAAGAAAGTCTGGAGGTTTACAAGTTTGGATATTCACAAGGGGTTTGCAGCAAGAGAGCAAGAGAGCAGGCGTGCACGACGACTGGAGATTTGGAGATTCGCAAGGGGTTTGCAGCATACGCCGCGGGTGGGTGCAAAATGCGCCCAAGGGACAAAAGTTCGAGTCGAGTGGCCACGCCGACGCCGACGCTCACGCCCACGGAAATCATCTCCGACAACGACGCCATCAGCCATCAGCCATCAGCCATCAGCCATCACATCGGCTGCAAGACATGCGAGATGCACGATGCGCGAGCACAGACGACATGCAGATACACGAGATGCTGCAACAAGTCATGTCACGTCATGTCAAGTCATGTCAAGGCAGTGGTCAAAGTCCAAAGTCGCCCAAGTCAAAAAGTTGGGCCATCAAACACACTCGAGCGCAGTCCTGCGCAGTCGGTGCAGGGGAAGAAGGCAGAGGGAGAAGGGCACCCAGCACTGCGCAGGCTGGAAACCACTTCCAGAATTTCAACGTTTTTCTCGACGCAAACCCCCCACCCAAGCGGACTCTCGCCTGTCTCTGCAGTCCCAGCCCAACGACCTGCGCAGGGCTGTGTGTTGGGTTGTTGTCCCAGCCAGCAGCACCAACGTCAGTTGCACCGTTCGCCTTCCTGCCATTCAGCCATAAAGTAGGAGCAAGGTTACCGTCCTGGCCAGTAGCACCAACGTCTGTTGCGCCGTTCGTCTTCCCGCGCGGCATCCGTCGGCAGCTCTGACCTTTCCCTCGCGCTTTGTTCGCCGAAATTCATTTGAAATGAATCGCGAGCTAAGACGTTGCAGAGTGGGTGGAAATGTGCAGTTTCTGTAGATTATATTTATATCTGCAAGGCTGTAGACGCCGGGAGGGGCTTTGACGGGGAGGAGGGACGATCGAATAGGCCCCGGTGGTACTCCGGCTGGCATAACCGATTCTTTGACAACGACCTAAGGTTCACTCAAACCTCCATTGGAGTCTTTGACCTTTATCTCACCTTTCCCTTGAGCTTTGAAATGAATCGCGAGCTAAGACGTTGTTGCAGAGTGGGTGGAAATGCAGTCTCTGCTTGGATTATATTGTACGGGGATCGAATTCGTTGGCATGCACGTGCAAGAACGCACAGAGGCCTGTCCGGGGGCGGTAGATGAGCGCGGTGCTCTGGTCGTAACGCTGTCTCGCTCGCCTGCCAACAACAATAACAATATACACAAACCAAACACTGGAGGTCAGCGTATAGTCGCTGTAGCAGAATCAATCGCAGGACTGCCTGCAGCGCGTCGCAGGAACAGGAACAAAGGAAGAATAGAAGGTTTCGAGCACAACTAGCACTCTGTTCGCTATCTTGAAGTAAAGCTGACTTGATCTATTAATGTTACTTAAGGACTATCAAAACCATTGCCTACTCCGCCATTGGTAAAGCACCTTGTACAGTCACGTGACTGTATAACTTGGCCACCACGCCAGCCCATTACAATATCTGCAAGATTATAGACGTCGGGAAGGGCTTTGACGCGGAGGAGGAGGGGCGATCCAATAGACCCCGGTGGTCCTCCGGCGCCAGTGGCATAACTGATTCTTCCACAACGACCCAAGGTCCACTGAAACCTCCATTGGAGTCTTGTCCCTCTGGATCGACTCAGGAATTGCGGTGTTCTTGCTTGCTGGCCCACCGGTGCTCAAATTCGCTGCCAAGTTGGGTCAAATCGGCGCCGGAGACGAGAGACAAGAGATAAGACAACATTCGTGGGGAACCATTCTTCAAGTTGTTGTTCCACTCCCACAGTGTTTGTGGTGTTAACAAGATGGGGTGACCCCCGATTGGATGATATCTATAAGGTTGTAGACGTTGGGGAGGGCCTCTATTGGAGTCTTTGTTAAAATGAGTCGTTGTATAGTGGGTGAAAAGGTTGTTTGGTCCACTCCCAAAGTGTTTGTGGTGTTAACAAGAATGCAGGTATGTATGTTGTGGGGTGACCGCCGATTGGATTATATCTTCAAGGTTATAGATGTCGGGAAGGGCTTTGACGAGGAGGAGGGACGATCGAATAGGCCTGGTGGTACTCATGCTGGTATAACTGATTCTTTGACAACGACCCGGCGGACGATACCGTCGCCCACCGGCTTCCGCTCGACCGTCAACGTCTCGAGAAAGCTGGGGGAGGCGTATCCCTTCAGCCCACAGGCCAATTTCCAGGCCAGGTTGAGCTCGTCGGCCAGGCACGTGTTATTTCCAAGACCATTGATGGGTGGGTGGCGATGGGTCGCGTCGCTGTTACAGAGGGCGGCCCTTGTGCCAGGTGCGCACGACCTGGTTGTTGATGGTCCAGTGGAATATCGACAGGATCTTGACTGCGACCGAGTCTGCCACGTCCTCGCCCTCCTGGAGCCTTCCTCTGTATCGCATACGGATCTTCTTCAGTGCAACTTTGTCCTTTGTGTAGATGTGAATGGCTTTGAATACTTTTCCACATGTGCCTGCACCAACCACAGACTCATTGCCCGGCTTTCGGAGGTATATAGATTCGGATTCTGCAAACTCGAGAGGCAAGGTAGGCCGAGACTTGATCTCCTTCTTCATCTTCTTCGAAGGGGGAGAGCTTAATCGGTCCGGTCGGCGTTCTCGTGGAGGCAGTTGTTGATGCAGCTGTTGTTGACGGTCGTTGGGATGCCTTCGATCATGTGGTGCGAATTTCCGGTCAAATGGCCTCGAAATCCATGTCTATCGTCACGGTGGTCAAGATGTTTGTTCTTGGGGCCTTGTGGTGGTGGTGGTGGTAGCCGATTGTCTGGGTGTTGTCAACACCCCTTTTTGGTCTTGACACGGTCGGCGTGCTGCTCCAGACTGACGAACTCGGTGTAGACTTAGAACTCAACCCCCAGCTTCCTGGCCTCCTCGACCAAAATGGGTTCCAGGAGACTTTGTGGGAGGTTGGATATGCTGCAGGGACTGGATGCTTCGTAGGGCCCTTCCTTCGAGGGCTTGTTCTCCCACGCCCAGAGCCGGCCATATGCTTCCCCTGGCGAGACTGTAGAGGAAAGAAGAGTGTGCCATGCCTTTTTGATGCTGCCGTGGGGTCAGTATACATCTAAGGGACTCAATGCGAAAGGGGGAAGCGCAGCTTACCGGGGGCGCCACTGCGCAGTTTCAGACACCGCTGCTCCAAATCGGCATCTTGATGGACCTCCATCGCTCTCTGGTTGAAAATATTGGCTCGAGGGGTGTCCCTGCGAGAACAAAGTCAAGTTTCAGCGACTGTGCTGCTGGGTGCTTGAAGCTGGATGCTGGGTACTGGGTGCTGGGTGCCAGAGTGTCAGAGTGGGTGACCCCTGCGCCAGGAAAAATGCTTCAATTGTGCGAGTGCCCTTCCCCTTCTTACCCTCTGCCTTCTCCCTCTGCCTTCTCCCTCTCTCTACCTTCTCCCTCAACCTTCTTGCCTTCTGGCCTTCTGGCCTTCTGTCCTCTGCCTTCTTGCCTGCGTTGGACTGTCCTCGAGTGTGTTTGATGGCCCAACCTTTGGGATTTTGCAACCTTTGATCCCCTAAGAATCTGCCATTCACGGTTCATGCTGTCCCCCAATGCCTCACGGAACGCTCTCACCAACATGCTACCCGCAAAATTCCAGGAGATGGATCAAAGAAGAGATGGAGTGGAGAGATTCCAAACCTGATGCAAAGAAAGGTCACCATCGTCGACGCCGTTCACAATGACGAGGCCACCAAAGTTACTGGGGCAGCCTACACCGGAGCCAGACTTGTTCGAAAAGATTGATGGTCAGCCAGCTTTTGACCCTGCTCGCCTTGTCTGACGGGTTGCAGTACTATAACCAGGCTATGCTGGGGTCAGGCGGTAGGTTAGGCGTGGTCCCGCCCCCGTCGTTGCATTTCTGCTAATCTGGAGTGGTCCAGGCAATATTCGGTCTCCGTGACGACGGGAGTCTGGATGTCGGCAACCGGTATTCCATATGTTGCCTCGATCTTCCACCTGGGGTTTCGTGTGCGGTGCGACACTAGCATCTCTCCTCGCCCAGAGATACCCTGTCGAGCGGGTTCTTTTCGCTATTGTCTGTCTCATGGCGACCAGCTGCTTATTCTAGCTTCCAGGGGATACATGTCTAGCGATTTGGGTCCTCGGCATGCTCGAAGCCGGTGCCTCCCCGATGTTGATGGTCGCAGTGGGATCATTTGATAAGAAGAACGAACAAGCTCTCCGTACGGCAGTCTGGTTTGGCGTAAGTAAGTGACATGCGAGCTCCTCCAAGGGGTGTGTCCATTGAACGTGTCTCTTCCATCACTAACCGTTGGCAAATAGCTGGCTTTGTTATTATCTTCTCGCCTCTCGTCGACTACGGCCGCCTGGAGTCCTGGCAATAATACATGTTCCTCGCCGCGGGTGGTATGACAGTGGCATGGCCATTTGTCCTCTTCTTCTTCCCTCCGGTATCAGAAACAGGCCTCCATAGCCAGCCCCTCTTCAGAACTCTCACTACCATCTTCGCCGGAACAGCCACCCCCGTTACAGAGACAGTACTCACCGATTCCCGGATTCAACAACGACACGCAGTCGAATTTTACGCAGAATGGACACGTCAACGCCGCGTATATTCACCATCAGCGCGAATCCGGCGTCTTCCCGAAGTGGTTCATGCCCACCCCGTACGGTTGAGTCAACGGTACTGGAGAGGGAAGAAATGCGGTGTCGAGGTTGGCTGTTTCAGGTCCTTCGGGGTGTCCTTAAATGGCCGGTGCATACTTGGAGCTAGCCGAAGGTGATACTGCCGCGTCTTTAAAGTGTCAGCATGCGGCTGGCGGCTTACTCTTTGCCGTCTACCTTCTGGGTTAGTACCTCCTGACGGCGCAGCTGCTGGCCGCCGTGGATTTTCCGCTGAATATCCCTGTGGGCGACCTCAGCACGGACGAACAACTCCGGTATCAGGAACACTCATCTCGAGAAGGATCACACATCTTTGAGCTACTTCTGGACGTCAAATTCTGGACGTCAAATTCTGGACGTCAAATGCTGGACTTCAAATTCTGGCTTTATCTTTGCCATTGCCTTCCTCAATATGATCCCCAATGGACCAAGATCCATGTTCCTCCCGATCATTATCAACGGCTTCGGTTTCAGCACATTGAACACCTTCCTCCTCCTCTACATACCTTACGGGTTCATTACTGGCATGGTGATTTATGCCATGACTCATGCGGCTTACAGGTGGCAGCACGTCCGATGCTGGATCATCGCCGTGGGACATTATTGCACGACCGTCGTCTCCCCGCAGCCTCATGTCGGCACCATCCTTCTCTGTGGGATCTCGCCTCCTCGGGGTTCTTTTTGGGATACTGTTTGGGCAACTTTGTTACTCCACTGCTGTTCCCAGAGAAGGAGAGAGGCACCCCCACCGAAGGTTTCTCGCAGTCGTCGACCTTCATCACCAAGTCGACCTCACAGTTCACGGTTTAGAGTTGATCCGCGGGGATTGCGAGGAGAATCTCCCGGGCCAGGCACTATCATCAACATGAGTGAGATCCGCCAACATGCCGAATTCATGAGACAAGCTACGGGGATTGAAACTCTTGGAAAGGCGATGAGAGAGTTCGAAGAGTACCAGAAGCGCGAACAAGACAGAAGAATGGAGACGTGGGGAAGACGAGCGCAACAGCGTCAAAGATTGAACGTGCTCCCATATCCGCACAGGGTTGATTGCCGCGGTTGCTTTCCTACGGTCGCGGAAATTACTCGCTCTAATCCTGCTTGTCGGCACCGCTGCTCTCAGTCTATGCTTGCTCCAAAGCTCCGCGCAGATCCAGACCCTCGAGGAGTCGACGGCCTCACTCTTCCAAGGCCACCATGCGCACGAGGAGACGACGGCCTCGCTCTTCCAATGCCACCATGCGTACGAGGAGAACCAGCCACTCCTCCCGGCGAGCTCCCTGTTGCATCCTATTCGCCAGCGAGTCACCTAAGGAGAAGGAGACTTTCAGACCGCTCGGGCTCGCCAGTCACGAACCCTCAGCGACGCCGTAGCCGAGTACCGCAGGCGTGCGACATTGACCATCGTGCACAGAAACGTCTACATCTATGACTACAACCGATGCAGAGACTATGCGGGAATCTCGGAGGCTTTCGACTACGGCTACGAGGATGACTTGACGGACAAAAAGACGCCCTTCGATCGAGATGCCCACGTGGAGGTCGTGGTGAAATCTGGCAATGACGACGCAGGGATAGACAACCGAATATGCTTCCGCCAACGGTACCGACGGCGACCGCCTTCGCAGGAAGTTGAGATCGGCAATACCGTTCCTCGCGCGCTACAAGTCAACAAGTCCGACTCTGGGACAAGACGGAGAAGATGGTCCGGCAAAAATACCCCCAGCCGTCAAACAATCCCCCGGAGAGCAGGAGAGCAAGAGAACAAGAGAGTAAGAGAGCAAGAGAACAAGAGAGTAAGAGAGCAAGTTGTGTAAGTGTGCACGATTGGAGAGTGGATATTACCCGCCCACCTTGCGAATCCATCCTCGACCATCAGACATCGTGTCTGTCAGGATGGCCACGCCGGCGAGAATGGCGATTACGGAGCCCAGAACAGCGTGAGGCAGACTGTGGCCGCCTCACCCTCCCAATCTTTGGCTACTTTCTCACTCTTTTGGCGAGCAGATACTCTTGACACCAACAATATCACCATTGCCACTCCTTGGGAACAGCAGACCTATTCCCACACGCCAACATTGTCATCAAAGACCGCAAGATCGTATTGTTTCTGGTCCAAGCATGCCTACCAACTAAAAAAAACCCAAAGGAAGCATTGTTATAACTGGACCTTCTCGACAGCCTCCAATGTCCACATAGCCATCGACTGTGCCACCTTCAAGACATACGTCTCCTTCAAGTTATACGTCCTCACAGTTTCTGACCCACGCCGAGTGCCAGTTCGCGGCATTGGTTCAGTCGAACTCAAGCTTCATCGAGAACCGGGCAGCGCGACAGGACGAGTGGCCGTGGCGAAAGCTGTGTCTCCGTCGATGCAGGCCCCGGCGTGCGCAAGTCATCCGTATCACTGCGTGGAGTGGCCGCCGCGCGCAGAAGCCCTCTGTCCACCTCGCTTCTCTGCTTCAACGCCTCCCACGCGGCGAGACCAGCTGGCGGCGCGGCGCAGGAGGGTCCTCAGCGTGCCGTCCGTCGGGCATGCAAGTTCTGCGGCGGGTTTGGTGCTGTCTATGCATGTTGGCGGGGTTCCTCCAGGGAACGTCGTTGTCTGGTTCAATGGGTTCTGTCCCACACCTCAAAATTGGCTTGCTGGCTGTGCGCACCCGGCGACTCCGTCGTCTGCGTGACACACGGCTCTGTCTCCTACCACTTGAACAGGTGCCACCGCTTTTCGATTCATCAGACGGTCTACACAAACGCTACACACTATAGGAGACCCGAGGTCAAGAAGACAAACGTTCCCATGCTCATGGCCAAAGCCGTCAAAGAAGGCTACGAGGTCACTTACAAAGGCCTTCTGGCATGGTGTGACCATCAAGAGCCTGCTGATGTTCCACGATTCCGTCTCTTTCTCGTGGCAATGGAGGCTGCCTTCGCAAACATCCTTCGTCGCATCGATCACACCCATCGAAGAGCCACCGACGACCGTGCAAACATGAGCAAGTTAGTATACCGGGCGTGGGAGGTGGAGGCACGGAGCCCTCGCGAGTCGATGGGCCGTGGATGGAAGGTTTCTAGAGGCCGCTGCAGAACGAGCCCGCAACAAGTCAAGACTGTGCCCGCGTAGAGGGGCGTGGCGAAGTATCTCCAGCCACCATGCCTGCTGCTGTCCCTGCATGGTACTGGGAGCTAGCTCTGACGGGACGGGAAGGCCATGGAGGAAATCTTCGAGCCCACCTACGACTACGCCCCGCAGTCCATTCGCGAGAGTATCAAAAAATGCCAATAACGCTTCACCGTCAGGGCCAAGAACCCAAAAGGAGCCGGGCGATCTCGAAGTGGTCGAAGGTCCGCCGTTGCCCCCGCTCAATTGGGTTTGTTTAATGGTGCAGACAATGAAGAGGAGGGGGCAACAGCAGCAGCAGCATCAGCAGCAGCAGCAGCATCAGCAGCAGCAGCAGCATCAGCAGCAACACTAGGAGCAGTAGGAGGAGGGGGAGGAGGAGGAGAAGGAGAAGGAAGAGCCTCTCCCGGCGCAGCGGGCGAGGGTATACAGAACAGGCAGGCAAAACAAAGCAAAACACTGCACTGTGACCGCTCTGGAGAGACTGCGTTGGACAGACAGACTGGCTGCGCTAGACTGACTGCATTGGACTGGCTGCAGTGGACTGGCTGACTGCACTGCGGTGCTGTGGGGACCCTTTGGGCAGGGCAGGGCAGGGCAAAGCAAAGCAAAGCAAAGTAGAGCGAAGTAGAGTAGGACAGAGCAGCGGAGGGTAGCATAGATCAGCGTAGTAGCGCAGAGCAGGACAGAATTGGCTGCCAACCAGGACAGGACTGCCTCAGCAAGGACTCGGCTGAGTCGAGCAGCAGCGGGAAGTCCTTCGAGTCAGCGCTCTTGCAATGACGCTGCTACTGAGCGATACATTGACAAGTTTCTCTCCAGCTTTGCAAGCAAGGGTGTGTGCAATACACCACGAGAGTGCAAACCGCCCAAGTCGGTGCAAGACGTGCGGCGGGTATGGAATAACCAGCCATCCTCGCTCATCTCGTCCCATCTGTCAATGCTTCGTGAGCAAATACGCTGAACAGTATAGGACCAAACAAAACAAAGTCCAGCATAGCACAGCACAGTCAGTCAGTGAATGGCGTCGGCAATAAAACAAAGCCAAACAAAGCCAAATACTGCACTGACTGCGCTACACCAACTGCACTTGCTGCGCTGGACTGACAATGTTCACCCCGACATTGTGTTCCCCGACATTATTCACCCCGACACTCTTCACATCATGTCCCGCGGGGCATTGAACCCAGATTGTGTGCCCCGTGTGTGAACCGGCTGTTGTGGACTGCTTGACTGCGGTGGACTGCTTGACTGCGTTGCGGTGCTGTTCCGTGCGGGAGCCTTTCGACTGAATAGCACAGAGTAGCACAGCATAGAGCAGGCAGAGCAGGCATAGCAGAGCAGGCAGAGGAGCGTCAGGCCTGGACAATGGTCAAGACCATCGACGGCAGTGCGAGAGCACAGGGTTGTCGAGGCCAGGTGCCAGATGGAGGGATCTGTCCATTCGCCTCCCACTTGATATCCTTCTCTTTTGCAGTGCTCGATCGAATCCAGCTCGCAGTAGAGCAGGGCATAGCAGACCAGGGTAGAGGAGCCAGAGGAGCCAGAGCAGGGCAGACCAGGCTGAGCAGCGGTGCGGCGGCGTGTAGGGCATGGTTGAGTAACGCAGCATAGAGCAGAGAGTAGCGCAGGCCATGGCAGAGCAGGCAGATGAGGGAAGACCAGGCTGCTGAGCAGGAAGCCCAGGGTAGAGCAGACCAGGCTGAGCCAGGGAGAGTAGGCAGAGAGCAGGGTATAGTAGAGCAGAGCAGACCAGGCTGAACCAGGTAGAGCAGAAGTTCCCGAGGGTGCCAATGAATGCTCCCAGCTTCGGCTCAAGGGCCCCAAGGAGGCCTGCCAACTGGGCCAGGACCATATTCTAGGCATTCCTAGGACTATGTTCCTGCCAACAGTGCCGGAATGCCACAGTGGCAGAGTGGGTCTGCGTCAAGAAAAATGCTTGGATTGTGCGAGTGCCCTTCTTGCCCTCTCTACCTGCTCCCTCTGTCTTCTCACCTTCTACATTCTTACTCTCTACTATCTTGCCTTCTACGCTCTACCTTCTGCCTCCTGGCCTGCGTCTCCAGAAGCAAATCTTGCTCATCTTCTCGCTGATGCCGGAATTCCGCTCGATCGTGGTGCATACAGGTGCAACAACTGCCAGAAAGCTCGACCACACCACCAAGCGTTGCCCCAAAGAGAGAATCGTGAGTGCCCAGCCCACTACTACTTACTACTTATGTAGCGAGGGTCATCGTGTTCGTGCCTGAAAGAGCCAAAATGAGCGAGTCTGAGGAGCATTTGGCCCAGGTGAGTCTTATCCTGTCCCTTCTGCATCTGTGACCAAACCAAGACTTGACATGATGCCCGCAGGACTATCCAAACAGAGAGACACGAGCCTATCAGTGGTGACGAGGACCACATGGCGAAGGATTGCCCATCCTATCATACATTCAAACAAGGAGACTGTCCAAACAAGAGCCTGAGGAGCACTTGGCCAAGGTGTGTGTCCTGTCCCTGCATCTGTGGCCAAACCAAGACTGACACGACGCCGTAGGACTGCCCAAACAAGGAGATTGGAGCCTGACGAAGGCCATCTGGCCCGAGATTGCCCTCAGCCTCAGCCTCGAGATTGTCCTGAGCCTCAAAAGATGACTGGCAACATCTGCAACGAAGGCCATCAGGCTCGAAAGATGATGACTTGCAACATCCACAACGCAGAAGGCCATCTGGCTCGAAAGATGACTTGCAACACCTACCGCGGCCTCGACTTGCAACATCTACATCAGCCTCGAAAGATGATGACTTGCAGCATCCACAACGAGGAAGGACATCTGGCTCGAGATTGTCCTCAGCCTTGAAAGAGAACTTGCAACATCTGCACAGCAGCGAGGAAGACCATCTGGCACGGGATTATCCTACCTCGAAAGATGGCTGGCAACATCTGCAACAAGAAGGCCATGTGGCTCGAGATCGTCCTCAGCCTCGAAAGATCACTTGCAACATCCACAACGCGGAAGGCTATCTGGCTCGAGATTGTCCGACTCGTGAGAAGAGAATTTGCCGCAACTGCGGCGACGAAGACCATCCGGCTCGACTCTCGAGATTATCCTCAGCCTCATTACCCTCAGCCACATTACCTTCAGCCACATTGTCGTCAGCCTTATTATCCTCAGCCTCGCAAGATGACTTGCAACATCTGCAACGAGGGAGGCCATCTGCAACGAGGCGACATATACAATAAGGAAGACCATCTGGCCCGAGATTGTCACCAGTTTCGAAAGACGACTTGCAACATCTGCAGCGAGGAAGACCATCTGGCTTGAGATTGTCCTGAGCCTCGAACGGTGACTTGTAACGTCTTCAAAGCAATGAGGAAGGCCATTTGCAACGAAGAAGGTCATCTGGCCCAAGATTGTCATGCCTCAGCATTGTCCGCAGCCTCGAAAGACGACTTGCAACATGTGCAACGAGGAAGACCACCTGCAACGAGGCAGGCCATCTAACTCGAGATTGTCCGCAGCCTTGAAAGAGAACCTGCAACACCTGCACGGCAAACAGGAAGACCATCAGGCTCGAGATTGCCCTCAGCTTTTGCCTCGAAAGGCGACTTACAACATCTACCCCAGCCTCGACTTGCCACATCTACACGACAACCAGGAAGACTATCTGGCTCGAGATTATCCTGCCTTGAAACAGAACTTGCCGTAACTGCGGACGAAGACCATCTGGCCCGAGATCGTACTGCCTCGGCCTCGAAACATCGACGACTTGCTACATCTGCTACAAGGAAGGCCATCTGGCTCGAAAGGCGACTTGCAAGACCTACCTTGGCCTCGAAAGATCACTTGAAACATCTGCACAGCAACCAGGAAGGCCATGCAACTCGAGATTGTCATCGGCCTCAGCTTCGAGATCATCGTCAGCCTCAAGATTGTCCTCAGCCTCGAACGATGACTTGCAACACCTGCACAGCAACGAGACAACATCTGCAACGAGACAACATCTGCAACGAGATTGTCCTGCCTCAGCCTCGTTACAACATCTACAACAAGGAAGACCATCTGGCTCGAGATTGTCCCCAGCCTCGCACTCGAAAGACGACTTAGAACATCTGCACAGCAACGAGGAGGGCCATCTACAACAAGGAAGGCCATCTGACCCGCGTAAGTCTCCAACCATTCTCTCCCAGGACCTTGGCTGTCCGTTCTGCTGATGTGCCCTATAGCTACGAACGATGCCCTACCCCTACCAGCCGTCCATCCTACATTCAATCGGCCGGTCATCCCACGAACCACGGCAGAGATTGCCCAGATATACAGAACGAACTGTTGAAGAGATGGATACTTGACCCTGGGGCAAATATACACCACAAACTGTGAAAGAGATGGATGCTTGATGGATACTTGACCTTGAGGCATACACAACGAACTATGAAAGAGATAGATGCTTGATGGATGCTTGATGGATACTTGACCCTGGGGCAAATATACACCACAAACTGTGAAAGAGACGGATTCTTGATGGATGCTTTATGGATACTTGACCCTAAGGCATCCTGATATCCATCCAAGCATCGTCCAGACCATCGACACACCACCACCACCTCGACAAACGGCTGCACATCGAACGGGACCGGACGAGGCTGGGTGGATCAGATCTTGCTGCCTCCAACGGCGACGGAGGCAAGTGATCCAGGCCAGTCAGCACCGCCACCGAACCAGACGTTGAGCTCGCCCTCGCCCATCCAGCAAAACACGTCACCATCAACAACATCCACCCCATTGACGAGGCCTATACCATCTCGATCCCGATGTTCGTGTCGGTGTTGAAACCAGCCGCAATGGTATGAATGAACCCTCCTCCCTGTTGCCGGCCCTAGCTAACTCCATATGTTAGTAAACCATTGGGTTTCTGAAGACGACATCGTCGACCCAACCCTGGCTGTCGAAGAGCCAGCCATGTGTGTCACTCGAATGCCGACATCATTGCCCTCGTTATCCTCCCACTTGAGCGCTGCGTTGTCGGTCTTGGACCGCTTGCCGACATCCTGACGCCGGAAATCGTGTCGTCTGCATCCACAGCCATCTGGAAGGTCTCCAGTCCACCGTGTCGACCTCTGGCCTATGCTAGAGTTGTTTACACACCTTGGACCGCCGACCTGGGGGCCGACTGCAGACTCAAGCACCCTGGTGACTCCATCTGCCGCCGCCACCACAGCATGAATCGAAAAAGACACATGAATCGACCGAAGACACAGTCATACCAGATCTGCCGCCTCAAGATGGGAGTTCTGCCGTGAATGCAGAGTTCAATGCATGAGGCGGATGGGGAGGGACCTGGACAAGGACGGGCGAAGTGCTTCAGCCTCACCACGGTTTACCAACTCCCAATGCGTCCTCCACCGGTCCATGCGACTCGACGACGACGATTCCTCGACGGCACCCCAAGCGGACGCTCACAGCACCCCCATGCCGCCCCAGGCCCTTCGTGTTGCTTCGCAGAACGTTGTCGATGGCAGAGCGACCGCCGCCCATCCGGAAATCCTCTCCGGCAAGCAGATTGGCGCTCTGGCCGGGCGTCACTCTCTTCCTACACGAGCTGGCGTGCTTGGAGGTTCTCAGTGATCATGTCGCAGGGAACTACTCGGCTATATCGACGACGACGAGGGCTCTATGTCAGATTGACCATGATGGGTCGTGAAGAGAGGCAGCACAGGCAAAAACACACTCGAAAGGCTACGCTGACGGCTACGGAAATCATCTCCGGCAACCACGACGACAACCACGCCGACGCCACAAGTCCACGGAAAATAACTCCGACAACTACGCCGCCAACCACGTCAATGCCCAAGTCTCGGAAATCAACTCCGAAAATCAACTCCAACAACCACGCCGATGCCCAAGTTCACGGAGTTCATTTCCGACAACCACGCCAGCACCCAAACACACAACCACGCCCGCACGCCATCACGTAAGGGCGCCATCACGTTGGCGACATGCGAGACCGATGCACGATGCACGAGCACAGACGACGTGCAGATGGACCAGATGCTGCAGCAAGGCAGTGCGGGTGTCAAGGCAAGGAAGGTCAGGGAGGGTGTGCAACCTTTGGGCCTTTGGGGAAAAGTTGCAAAGGTCAAAAGGTTGGGCCACCGACATACTGGAGCGCAGGGCGCAGGGCGCAGGGCACTGGTAGGATTGAAACTGTGTTCCCGACACTCTGGCACGCCGGAACACACTTCCAGAACTTTAGCTTTGTTCCCCCAGCGCCCAGAACCCAGCGCCCAGCACCCAGCACTGACTACGGTGCTGTGCGGGAGCCTTTGTCTGGTTGGCAAACTTACTAGTGTTCTCTGTGGCGGTTGTCGGGAAACGTGTCTCCGAGTGGTGGGTTGTCGGCAAACTTGCCAGTGTTCTGTGTGACGGTTGTCTCCGTGGTGGTGGGGGTGCTCGGCAAACTTGCCAGTGTGTTTCCGTGGTGATGGTCAGGTCAGGTGCTGCGTGCCAAGGCAAAACGACATCAGCCTATCGTTCTGTCTTGGCGTGAAAATTTTTCACCATCAACCTCAGCTATCAAGCGCAGCTATCAAGCGAAGCAACTATCATCCATCCAACGCACCAGCGATCACCGATCTCGCAATCATCCAACGCAGCCAGCGAAGCAAACCATCTTCGCGTCCTCCACCACACCAGACACATCATCCACCGTCGTCGCCCCACCGCAGCAGCAGCTACCCTCCCGTTGTTCCACCACAGCTCCCCTCCCGTCCTACCCTCAGCCAGCCATCATCCACTCGGCGTGGCCATCATCGTTCCACGGCAGCAGTCATCCGCAGCAGCTATCCACCTCCTAGCTCCCACCATGTCGGCTCAAGCGAAATTTCTCGCGTGTCTGGAGAGGTTGAACGCCGCCGAGGCCATGGTCGTGACGGGTGGCAGCAGTCAAGAAGAAGTACTAGCTATACTACGTGGACTACGGACGGGACTGCGGGATTATCAAGAAGAGGTGGGAGAGGTGACTCCTGGTCCGCAGGAAGCACGCTGCCGATACTGCCATCACAAAGGGAGCAGGAGTCAGGGGGAGGAGGAGGACTCGACGTCGGCGGTGGCAGAGCTTCAGGCCCATGACTCCACCACCCGGCTTACTTCGAGACCAGTCACTCCTCAGACTGATGAATCCACAAATCGTCAGATCGAAAATAGCTCCACTACTGTTCCAAGCCATGATGACTCCACCACCAAGTTTACATCAACGCCAGCCACTTCTGGAACCGAAGAATGCACCACCCGGCTTACGTCGACGCCAGTCACTGCTCATACTGAACACTCCACCATTACTCAAAACGACAATAGCTTTACTACTCTTCCAGGCCATGATGACTCCACCATCCTGTTTACGGCAAGGCCGGTCACTTCTCGAACCAAAGAATCCACCACCCAGCTTGCGTCCAGGCCAGTTACTCCTCAGACCGAAGCATCCACAAATCTCCAGATCGATAATAGCTCCACTGCTCTCGAAAGCCATGACGACTCGGCGGGAGAAGACACTGAAACCGACGAATCCATTCGTCTTCCAAGCCGTGGTGACCCGACGGACACTGAAACGGATGAATCCACTCGTCTTCCAAGCCATGATGACCCGACACCGGCGGCAGACCCTCAGACCAATGAATCCACCAGTCTTCCGACCCACGATGACTCGTCGGAGTCTGAAACCGACGAACCTCCTCCCCTTTCGACCCACGATGACTCGTCGGACTCTGAAACGGATGAACCCACCAGTCTTTCAAGCCACGATGACCCGTCGGACTCTGAAATGGATGAACCCACCAGTCTTTCAAGCCACGATGACTCGTCGGACTCTGAAACCGACGAATCTCCTCCTCTTTCGACCCGCGAGAACTCGCCAGACCCTGAAACCAGCACACAACTTGACTCCACTACAACTACACGCCTCCCGTCCAGGCCATCCCCGCCGAAAGCGACCAACCGCCCCCGGTCCAAGTGGAGCTTGACCATCCAAGAGATGGGCGAGAACCTGGCCGCGAACATCACCAAGCTCATGGCCGACGAGACGTGTCTGGGCCTGGTCTCGATCGCGGACTTTGACACGGACGTGGACTGGGCCGATTTCGCCGCCGCGATGGTCCCACCCGCAAAAAAGCGCGGCCATGGGGTGGTCTACTCGAAAAGCTCGGTCTCGGGAGTCGGCCTGTTGGGGAACGCGGGCTCCAGGACGTTCCAGTTTCCCGACATGTCCCAAGTCTCGTCAGAGGAGTCTCCGAGTCGTGAGGCCTGCCTGGACTACGTCCGTCAACTGATCGACAGCCCTCCGAAGAATGCGGTTCCTTACTACGTCGGCCCGCCCCTTTACCACGACGACGAGCGGTTTACGTCCCGGTTCGACGATCTCTTGCATCCGGGCCCGGCGCTCGCCGAGATGCACCTCATCGATGGCGTCAACAAGCCGTGGCTCCACGCCGGCCTGAAGGGCTCGGGAACCGCCTTCCACTGCGAGGACGCAGACCTGGGGTCGTACAACTTGGTCCTCGGGGGCTGGAAGCTCTGGATCTTGATCCGCGAGAGTTCCCACCCGGCGTTTGAAGAGTTGGTCCGGAAACACTGGTCGTGCAACCGGTGTGAGCAGTTCGTCCGCCACAACGCACTCCTGATCGGCCCCGAGACCTTGACGGCGAACGACATCGAGTTCGACATCCATATCGCGGGACCGGGGGATCTCGTGTTTACCCGCCCGCGCCAGTACCACGCGGTCATCAACGTCACGCCGTGCGTCGCCATCGCCGTCAATTTCCTCCCGCTCGGCCAACCGTTCTTACGCAAAGATCTCCTCCTCGTTGTGTGCCCAAAGTGCGGGCTCTACAACCTCGACCTCGAGCATCTCCAGAAGCATATGCAGCGGGTTTCCTACCGTCCGATGCGTACGAAGACGACGACGAGGACCGTGTCCACGACGGCAACGGCAACGGCAAGCAACACGGCAGAGAAGAGGAAGACAGCACCGACCAAAAGTTCCCCGACGAAGTCCAAGAAGGCCCAAACCGCACCCGCCGCCAAAGACCTGCAGACCCAAGTCGATCAGCTATGCAAGTTGCGAGGAAACCGGCCGACGACTCAGATGGCTTTGAAGCTGGTGGCGGCTATCCGGAGCCCGCAGGCCATCCACCAGTTCCGCGACCTCGTGGCCAGCATGCGCGACCGAGGCTTTCACACCGCTCGCTTCGACGTCCGTGGCGATCACTCACTCTGCGTCCTCAAACTGGCCACGAACGTCAACGTCTCTCAGCGCAAGTCGAAGCTCGAGACGTTCTTCGTTCGCCTCAACCAGTACCATCTCGCGATGGTGATGGACCGTCTCAAGCTGGGGCGCAAAAGGTCTGATACGGAGGACATCACACGCGTTCGGCAATGCACTGGATGGAATGACCGCCAATACGCGGAGCAACGCACCCGGGGGAACAAGTGGATACGGCTCTGCGACGGCGCCCGGTTCGACGGCCTCCTCTGCTTTATGTTCCTGCACTCGCTGCCCGGATCCGACGTCTCGCCGGACCACTACTTGAACATGAGCGACCAAGACCTCCAGGTGTTCCATCATCTCCTCCTCCTCGACAAACAGACAGAATCCGTTTGCGCGGCTGGGCAGGCGTTTCAACGGTCTTTGAACAGCACGAGCATGGACACAGAGTTCTACTGGGAAGGCCAGAGCGTGGATGTGGATGTGGGTGTGGAGGAAGATCCCGAGACGTTGCTCGCGTCCCTGAAGCCCTTTCCGACGCATCCGACGCGTCCGACGGAGAATGTCTATGACCCAGGCAAGTATCCCCACTGGCCCAAGCCACCCAACTGGCCATGGGACTGGCCCGCGGACCCGACATCGTTGCCGGCTGGCCAGTCCCGGTGCGACCTCTGCCGCAGCCCGCCCTGCCGGTGCGCCGCCGAACCTCAACGAGCCATGCCGCGCATCAAACACTTCGAGGGCCGTCGGGGCCTCCAGGCGGTGGCCAATGGCCTGGGCCAACTGGCGTACCGGGCGGATGGGGTGATCGGGGTCTTTGCCGCCGAGCTGATTCCTCTGGACACACGCCACCACGACGGATGGGCCCTCGAGCTGGTCCGGGACGACATCGGTGGAAGCGTGTGTCAAGTCTACGCCCGGGACATGGGCAATTCCTTCCGGCTGCTGCTCAACACTGCTGCCCGCGAGTCCAACGCCAAATTTGCAAGCACGGTTGTCTCGGGGAAGTGGCGGATCATGGTGGTCGCCACACGGGACATCTTGGACGGGGAGGAAATCACTGTTGCTGTCACTGATGGAACAGAGGGATAGGATCGGAGGGGGATGCCTCGGCGTTAGCCATTGTTCTTCGTGAGGATGGAAGAGGGGCCGGCGTCACGCCCTCGCACATGTACATCGTTTTAGTTTGTCTTTATTGACCGTATTTATCACGTTGGCCCACTCCGTCGCTCGCCCGCACATGTCCATTGTTTGAGTTTGCCTTTGTTGACCGTATTCATCACGCTCACTCACTGAGTCGCTCGCCCGCACATGTCCATTGTTTGAGTTTGCCTTTATTGACCACGTTTATCACGTTGGCTCACTCAGTCGCGCGCCCGCACATGTCCATTGTTTGAGTTTGTCTTTATTGACAATATTTATCACGTTGGCCCGCTCCGTCGCTCGCCCGCCGCATGTACATTGTTTTAGTTTGCCTGTATTGATCACGTTGGCTCACTCAGTCGCGCGCCCGCACATGTACATTGTTTTTGTTTGTCTTTATTGACCGTATTTGTCACGTTGACTCACTCAGTCGCTCGCCCGCACATGTACATCGTTTTAGTTTGCCTTTATTGACCGTATTTATCACGTTGGCGCACTCAGTCGCTCGCCCGCACATGTACATTGTTTTAGTTTGCCTTCATTGACCATATTCATCACGTTGGCCCACTCCGTCGCTCGCCCGCACATGTACATTGTTTGAGTTTGCCTTTATTGACTGTATTGACCGTATTTATCACGTTGGCTCACTCAGTCGCTCGCCCGCCGCATGTATTGCACCGACTTGATTGAACAAGCATCTCTGGCGCATCACAAATCCCCCCGGCGTACCGGTTTCCCATAGAAGGCATGCCAGGACACAACGATAGGCTGATGTCGGTATGTCTTGGCACGCAGCACCTGACCTGACCATCACCGCGGAGACACGTTTCGCCGACCACCGCCACAGAGACACACTCACTCACCCATGTTAGCCGCGCTGCTGAGCCTTTGATGGGACAACTAACACAGTCAAGTAAAGATGACTGAACGTAGACTGATTCTAGAAACCCGAGTCCTACTACACTAAAGATAATATTTATTATAAGTAACTCTGGCGCATCACAAATCCCCCCCGGCCTACAATAGTCGGACTATGCTCCAGAGGGCGCAAAAAGACAGCTGATGTCGGTATGTCTTGGCACGTAGTACCTGGCCCTTCCCGCCGAGTATCCTCCGGCCGGCGTTCTAGTGTATTAGTAGCCTAACCTTTTGACCTTTATAACTTTTTCCCCAAAGGCCCAAAGGTTGCACACCCTCCCTGACCTGCCTTGCCTTGACACCCTCACTGCCTTACTGTAGCATCTGGTCCATCTGCACGTCGTCTGTGCTCGCGCATCGTGTATCGTGCATCGTGCCTCGGTCTCGCATATCGCCAACGTGATAGCGCCCTTGTGTGATGGCGTGCGGGCGTAGTTGTGTGTTTGGGTGCTGGCGTTATTATCGGAAATGAACTCCGTGGATTTAGATGTGAGCGTGCTTGTGGGTGTGGTTGCCGGCTAATTTCCATGAATTTGGGCATCGGCGTGGTTGTTGGAGTTGATTTTCGGAGTTGATTGCCGTGGACTTGTTGTGGCGTCGGCGTGGTCGGCGGCGTGGTTGTCGGAGATGATTTCCGTGGCCGTGGCCGTGGCCTGTCCAGTGTGTTTTTGCCTATGCTACCCTCTCTTCATGACCCCAAATCATGCTCAATGCACATAGAGCCCTCGTCGTCGTCGATATGGCCCAGTAGTTCCTTGCGATCTGATCACTGCGATACCTCCAAGCACGCTGGCTCGTGTAGGAAGAGGGTGACGGTCTGCTCTTCGGAGTGTTTGGTTGCGGAGACCAGATGGGCGGCTTCTTCCAGGCGTCCAATGTCGACATTGTATCCTTGGATGTAGATGTAGATCAACTTGCAGACGGATTTCTTCTTCTGATAGCCATCCAGTTTCTCGCTCTTACAGTTCTGGCGGATGTTGGCGAGGTCTTTGTTGATTCTCTTCTCCTCCAGTTCTCTCGGCCGGCCCTGTGGTTGCCAGCACCAAGCATATCAACTGCTGCGACTGGGCAGAGTCCGCCTGGGGTGCGATGCCATCGAGGAGTCGTCGTCAAGCCGCATGTATCGGCGGTGGCCAAGGACCTATGCTTAACTCGGCCGTTTTCTCCGCGTCAAGCAAGAGATGGACAGGTTTGAAGTTTCTCTCCATCTTGCTGCGGCAGCTGGTGGGATCTTGCTCGGGCTTGGTTGGAAGCGTGATCATTCCAGTATCGAGGCCGTCCAGTCTGCAAGTTTGGAGATTTGCGAGCAAGGGTGTGTGCAAACGGCCCAAGGTTTTCCCTGGCAAAGCCCACATAGGCCAGCCACGTAGGTTGGTGCGAGACGTGCAGAGGGAGGGCGTTGGATAACCAACCATTCTCGATCATCTCGCATCGCGTCCCATCTGTCAATGCTTCACCAAGGCGAGTGACAGGATCGAACAAAGAAAAGTCCAGTACAGCACAGCACAGCCCAGTCAATCAGTGAATGGGATCGACAATAAAACAAAGCAAAACAAAGCAAAACACTGCACTGACTGCGCTGGATTGACAATATTCACCCCGACATCATTCACACCATGTCCCGCGGGGTAGATAAAGGTGTCGGGGTATTGATTGTATGCCCCGTCTGTGAACTGGGGGTGGACTGCTTGACTTCGCTAGACTGCTTGACTGCTTGACTGCTTGACTGCGTTACGGTACTGTGCGGGAGCCTTTGGGCTGAACAGCGGAGAGCAGCACAGAGCAGCGTAGCATAGAGCAGGCAGAGCAGAGCAGGGCATACCAGAGCAGGCATAGCAGACCAGGCAGAGGAGCCCGCAAGGCCTGGACCATGGTCAAGACTATCGACGGCAGTGCGAGACCGCATGATTGTCGAGGCCAGGTGCCATGTGCCAGATGCCAGATGCCAGATGCCAGATGCAGGGCATTGATGTCTCGAGAGGACTTGGATCGAGAAGACACCATCTCGCCTCGTCGTCGATGTAATATCGTAGATCTGTCCATTCGTCTCCCACTTGATATCCTTCTCTTTTGCATTGCTCGAATCCTTCTCTTTTGCATTACTGGAATCCTTCTCTTTTGCAGTCCTTGCTTGGATCCTTCTCTTTTGCAGTGCTTGGATCCGGCTCGCCGCAGAGCAGGGCATAGCAGACCAGGGTAGAGGAGGCTGGGCAGCCAGAGGAGCCAGAGCAGAGCAGGGCGGACCAGGCTGAGCAGCCAGAGCAGGATATATCAGGGCAGACCAGGCTGCTGAGGAGGAAGAGCAGGGCATAGCATGGCAGAGCAGACCAGGCTGAGCCAGGGAGAGTAGGCAGAGAGTAGGGTATAGTAGAGCAACGCATGGTAGAGCAGGCCAGAGCAGCCAGAGCAGCCAGAGTAGGGCAGACTCAGCAGGTAGAGCAGAAGAGGGTGCCAATGAATGCTACCAGCTTCGGCTCAAGGGGCCCCAAGCAACAAGACGTTCGAGGCTGCTCCCAACTGGGCTAGGACCACCATTCCAGGCCACCCCAGGACAGTAGTCCCGAGAACAGTGCCAGAGTGGGTCTGCGCCAGGAAAAATGCTTGGAATGTGCGAGTGCCCTTCTCCCTCTACCATCTTGCCCTCTACCATCTTGCCTTCTTGCCTTCTGCCCTCTACCATCTACCCTCTGCCCTCTGCCCTCTACGTTCTACATCTCCAGGAGAAAGTCTTCCTCGTCTCGCTGACGCCGGAATTCTGCTCGATTGTGGAGTATACAAGGACAACAACTGCGGACGTGCCCAGCCCACTGTTACTTGCTCCTTGTGTGGTGAGGAGGGTCATCGTGCTCGTGACTGTGGCCAAACGAAGACTAACACAATGCTGTAGGGCTGTCCAAACAAGGAGATTCGATTCGAGCCTGACGAAGGCCATCTGGCTTGAGATCGTGCTCAGCCTCAGCCTCGAAAGACGACTTGCAACATCCGCAACGAGGAAGCTCATCTGCAACGAGGAAGGCCATCTGGTTCGAAAGATGACTTGCAAGACCTGCCTCAGCATCGACTTGCAACACCTACCTCAGCCTTGAAAGAGAACTTGCAATACCTACAACGAGGAAGGCCATCTTCAACGAGGCAACATCTACAACAAAGCAACTTCTGCAACGCGGAAGGCCATCTGGGTCGAGATTGCCCTCAGCCTCGACTGCAACGGGACCATCTGGCTTGAGATTGTCCCCAGTCTCGAAAGATGACTTGCAACATCTGCACAGCCTCGACTTGCAACATCTATACGGCAACGAGGAAGGTCATCTACAACGAGGAAGGCCATCTACAACAAGGCAACATCTACAATAAGGTAACATCTGCAACAAGGAAGACCATCTGGCCCAACATTGCCCTCAGCCTCAGTGTCTTGTCCCCAGCCTCAGCCTCGAAAGACGACTTGCAACACCTACCTCCGCCTTGAAAGGTCACTTGCAACTTGTGCAACAAGGAAGACCATCTGCAATGAGGCAACATCTGCAACGAGGAAGGCTATCAGCCTCGACTTACAGTACCTACCTCAGCCTCGAAAGATCGCTTGCGAATTCTGCAACGAGGAAGACCATCTGCAGGAGAAAGGCCATCTGGCTTGAAATTGTCCCCAGTCTCGAAAGATGACTTGCAACATCGGCACTGCAACGAGGATGGCCATCTGCACAGCAACGAGGAAGACCACCTACAACGAGGAAGACCATCTGGCTCGAGATTGTCCCCAGCCTCGACTGCAACGAGGAAGGCCATCTAGCTCGCGTGAGTCTCCATTCTCTCTTTGGACCTTAGCTGTCCGTTCTGCTGATGTGCCCCATAGCTGCAAACGATGCCCACCATTCAATAGGCCGATCGTCCCACGAACCATGGCAGAGATTGTTCAAATATACAGCATGAACTGTGAAAGAGATGGATACTTGATAGATACTTGACCCTGGGGCAAATATACACAACAAACTGTGAAAGAGATGGGTACTTGATGGATACTTGATGGATACTTGTCCCTGGGGCAAATATGCAGGACGAACTGTGAAAGAGATGGATACTTGATGGATACTTGATGGATACTTCTCCCTGAGGCAACGGCTACCACAGTTCATCCAGAGGCATCCTTATACCCACCCCAGCACCGCCCAGACTGCCGATGCACCACCACCCCCGACAAATGGCTGTATATCGAACGAGATCGGACGAGGCTGGCCAGATCAGATCTTGCTTCCTCCAAAGGCGACTACAGACTCAAGCACCTGGCGACTCCGTACCTCCACTTTGGACAGTATCAAGCGACGAACTCGAATACGGCGGTTTGGCGGCGGCTGGCCGACGTGGTTGACCCGCGAGAGGAGGGAGAATATCTGCCGCCGCCCACCACCGCAGTATGAATCGACCCAAGACACAGCCATACAAGATCTGCCGCCTCACGATGGGAGTTCAGATGGTGAGAGAGGCGAACGCACCGCCGCCGGTTCCAGAGCTCCGCCATTGCAACGGCTGAAAGACCTCACCTCCACCGCTAGTATATACAACTTGACGACGACGATAACTCCTCCTCCATGGTACCCTGAGCTTATTGCCGGCGGTCTTGTCCAGTTCATCCTCCCCAACCTTCGAAATACCCAGGCGAGAGAACTGAAGGAGAAGAGAATCAACAAAGACCTCGCCAACATCCGCCAGAAATCCAAGAGCGAGAAATTGGATGGCTACCAGAAGAAGAAATCGGACTGCAATGTCGACATTGGACACACCCGGAAATGATCTCCGCAACCAAACACTCCGAAAAGCAGACCGTCACCCTCTTCCTACACGAGCAGCGCCGCATGCTTGGACGTTCGCAGTGATGCGATCGCAAGGAGCTACTTGGCCACATCGACTGCGACAAGGGACGGGCTTCATGTCAGATTAGGCATGATGGGTCGTGAAGAGAGACAAACACACGCAAAAGGCCACGCCGACGGCCACGGAAATCATCTCCGACAGCCACGCCGACAGCCACGCCGATGCCCAAGTCTGCGGAGATCATTTCCGACAACGATACCATCACGCCATCACATTGGCGACACGACATGCGGGCTGCACGATATGCGAGACCAATGCGCGGGCATAGACGGCATGCAGATCCACGAGATGCTACAACAAGGCGGTGAGGGTGTTATGTCAAGTCATGTCAAGTCAAGTCAGTGAGGGTGTGTGCAACTTTTTTCCCAAAGCCCACGCCCAAGTCGCCCAAGTCAAAAAGTGGTCCAGGAGCCAAAGTTGGGCCATCAACACTCTCGAGCGCAGGCCAGCGCCGGCCAGGGGGCACCCGACAGGCACTCACCGGCACTCCCAGGATTTAGACTTTGCACTGCTCGCCGGCGCTCCTGGGAATTTAGGCTTTGTGCTCGAGAGGCACCCAGCACCCAGTACCCAGGCACGCCGGAAAACACTTCCAGAATTTGAACTTTGGCTCGACGCCCAGCACCCGGCACCCAGCAGCGCAGTCAGTCAGTGAGTGAGTGATCGAGCGAGTGGGCGAGTGAGCGGATAGGACGAAGGGCACTGTAGAGTTAGCTGGGGTCGGCACCAGAGAGGGTTCACTCATACCATTGCGGCTGGTTTCAAGACCGACACGAATATCGGGATCCTGTTTGACATGTGCAACCCCGAGATTGCTTACCCCGACGTTGCTTGCCCCGTCTGTTCTGGCCCCGTGTGCCCCGACGTTGTGTGTGCCCCGTATGTAAACTCTGATTGTGCGAACTCCCAAAGACAAGGAAAGGGGTGGTGGTGTCAAATAGGTCGTATGGACAAAGAACATCGTGGTTTGGGTCGGACGCTGAATGAATGTCTTTGAGAGTATGCGTCATTGTCAGTCAATCATTGGACTGAGGGAGTTCAGTGTGCACCGTAGTCAGTGCCAGGGCAGTATAGGCCGTGAGTGAGTGTGTCTGCGTTAAGACAAAGTCAGGCCAAGGCGGCGAGGCTGTGAGTGCCCACCTAGCGCCAAGGACAAGTTCGAATTCCAGGAGTGCCTTTTCCTCTGCCTTCCCCCTCTGCCTTCTCACTCTTCCTTCTCCCTCTTCCTTCTCACTCTACCTTCTCACTCTCCTCTACCCTTTACCCTCTCCTCCACCTTCTTCCAACCACTCTAGTACTTCCGTACTATATATAAAAACAATTCGCCTCTCAGCAGGCCAAGCGTTCGTGTCTGTGGCCAGGAGCGTAAGCGTGGTGGCCGTGCTTGCAAGATTTGCGAGTCCGAGGAACACTTGGCAAAGGTGTGTCCTGTCTCTGTTGCATCTGCGGCCAAACCAAGACTGACATGATGTCGAAGGACTGTCCGAACAAGGAGATCTGAGCCTGTCGCAACGTGGCGGCCGTGCTTGCAAGATTTGCGAGTTCGAGGAACACTTGGCAAAGGTGTGTCCTGTCCCTGCTGCATCGGTGGCCAAACTCAGACTGACTTGATGCCGTAGGATTGACCGTCTCGTGAGAAGAGAACATGGCGGGTGGTGACGAGGACCACATGGCGAAGGATTGCCCTGCTCGTGAGAAGAGAACTTGCCGCAACTGTGGAGCCGAAGACCATCTGGCTCGAGATTGTCCTGAGCCTCGAAAGACGACTTGCCATGTCCGCAACGAGGAAGGCCATATGGCTCGACATTGCCATACACTTCAGAAGGGATTGCGGGAGGAGCAGGTGCTCGGCCATGGATGCCGTCGGTGTACCACACACAACCAGCTTAGAGGCCGTTTACACCGGTTATGCATTGTACACTGGCAAATCTCCCAAAACTTGCACATCTAAGCACCTGCAAACCTACAGCCGTCTCTTGCTCTCTTCCTCTCTTGCTCTCTTACTCTCTTACCGACTTGAAACCCGTATTCCGGCACTGTTACTAGGATTACGGTCCTCGCCTAGTTGGCAGCCTCCAACGTCTTGTCTCTCGGGGCCCTTTGGCTGAAGCTATTTAGCGGCCCATTCTGTCCTCCTGCTAAATCCCAACATCTTGTCTCTTGGAGTCCTTCAGCTCAAGCTGGTAAGCATTGGCAGCCTCCTCTGTCCTGCTATGTTTCCAAGAGGGGGCAAAGGATGTTTTTGAGGCCGATAGTCCAGCGTCGGCCTCTGCAAGAGGACTCTGGGAAGCACGGGTAGGCTGATGGCGCTGGGAAAAAGTGCTTTTCGGCAGAAACAACTCGATTAGTGCTGATATGATGTTCCAGAACCCTTCACTCTCGTCGTCGACCCCAAGGCCCCAGCCGTACGAGCACGTCTATCGAAGCATCCACCAAACACCCTTTTCTGTTCAGTAAAAGCCACTTGTTTTGACATCGCCTCACCGGGTTACTTCACAATCATGACGGGAAAGAAGCTGGACATGCCGCACTGCTTTAGGAAATCGCTACGGCATTTGATCAATATAACCATCTCACACACGAGGCAGAAGACATGCGGAAACATCTCTTCCGCGCCGATGGAGCAAGTGACAAACAAAACTAATAGTAACTCGATGACAACCTCAGTCTACCGATCCAGCCTGCAAGCTGAATGCTAGAGCCTCGCTTTGTGGCTGAATCATTCTTGACTCCGGTAAGCCCTTGAAGTTACCAGGCCGTGGGCAATGTTGACACAATGCAGTTCGACTAGATTGGAAGTGTTTGACAACATCAAAAGTACAAGAGCCGCAGATCGGGCTCGAACGTCATGTTCGCTCGACGGAAGAAGTCACCGCTCCAAGGACCTATGCTTGACTCGGCCCTTTTCTCCGCGTCGACACTCCCTACCGCGTTTGGAAGTCCTGCTATCGCTGGCGCCGGAAGGCACCGTGAGGCCTGGAAGCGGGATCATTCCAGTATCGAGACCGTGCCGTCTGCAAGCTGGGAGGTTTGCAAGCACGGGCGTGTGCATAGAATCAATGGATGCCTGTACGGAATTGATACTGGTACATGCGAACGGCCTCATCGTGATCAATGCCCCGTCAAGACAGAAGGAGATCAAGCAGGAGGAGGAATACAACCTCGAAGGTATTACCTTGGAAATGGTACGGTCGGACATTCCAGACCGGCCCATCCCTTTACCACCCTGCAGACTGACGTGTGAATGTCTGCTTGCTTCTCAAGCGCGACGAGTTTGGCCAACGTCTTGTCTCTTGGGGTCCTTCAACCGACGCTGGGAGCGTTGGCACCCCCTTCTGCACTGCCCTACTCTACCTACTCAGCCTGGTGTGCCTTGGTCTCCTCTGGTCTGCCCAAAGGTTCCGCACAGCACCGCAGCGCCGTCAACCAGTTCAGCGCAGTCAGTGCGCCACCATCTATCGTTCCAACATCTCTACTCTTCTTTTTGCGAAGGTGTGTTTGTCCCGTTCAATATACTGCCTGATGACGACGACGAGCTAGCTGCCACCACCGCTTGTTTTGTCGTTCTCTTGACATTCGAGACCATATGGAAGAAATCTTGTGAAAGATGGGATCGACGGAAAGGCAAACCCCCCCCCCCCCAAAAGCCTCTCACGATCACAGGAGGAAAACGATTCTGGAGCACATATCTAACCATTAACTCCTACTTAGACCGTCGATCCAGTGGACTGGCTCTCTTGCGTTCATCCTCCTCGAATACACCCTAGACATCAGCCAAAATGGCCAGCATCGAAAGCATCGACAAAGGAGTTACCATCAATGGCGCTGCCACAAAGGTGCGAAGGACCAAAGCACAAATCCAGCCAGACCAGTTACAAGCTGCACCTTTAGCCGCCGCTGAAGGCTCCCCTACCAAGCCGGCAACCGCTACCCAACTTGAAAGAGGGCGAACGCTTGCTCGTGCTGAAAATGTGCCCATCATACCCGGTCCTCCCCCTCCCATTCCACCCAGAGTGAAATCGGACTTATTCTGGACCGTGATGAACTCGAATTCTCCGCCATTACAACGTCTGAAAGACCTCACCTCCACTGCTGGTACATGCGGCTTGACGACAACTCCTGACGGCACCCCAAGCGGACTCTCCCCAGTCGCAGCAGTTGATGTGCATAATGAAATCACAAGTCTAGGCGAGAGAACTGGAGCAGAAGAGAGTCAACAAAGAGCTCGCCAACATCTACCAGAAATACCTGGGCGAGAAACTGGATGGCTACCAGGAGAAGAGATACGTCTGCAAGTTGCTCTACATCTATATCCAAGGATACAATGCCGGCATTGGACACCCGGAGCTGATCTCCGCAACCAAACACACCGAAAAGCAGACCGTCACGATCAGATTGCAAGGAACTGCTCGGTCATATCGACTGCGACAAGGGCTCCATGTCAGATTGAGCATGATTTGGGTCGTTTGAAGAGAGGCAGAACAGGCAAACACACTTTTCAAGTGCAAATGGAGTGGCCACGCCTACGCCCATGCCCACGCCCACGGAATCCAACTCCGACAAGTACGCAAGCAAGTTGGCTGCAAGGCATACGGCGGGCAGCGACTCAGTGAGTGAGCGTGATGGATATGGTCAATAAGTTACATGACAAGCCAAAGCAAAACCAAACACAACACAACACAGCACAGCACAGCACAGTGAGCGAGTAGGTGGGTGTGTCTGTGTCGAGAACAAATTCAAGTTTGAGCGATTGCGCTACTGGTGCTGGTGCTGAGGCTGAGTGCCTTCTACCTTCATCCTCTCCCCTCTCCCCTCTGCCTTCTGCCTTCTCAATGCCCAAGTCGCTCGCTCGCTCGTTCTTTCTATCGACACGTTCTGTGAAGAGAGCAGAGTCCGCCTTTGAATCACGGGTGTCTTTACCGGGCAGATCCAGCAGCATCTTGCCCCAATCGGACTCTCGGTCGATGTAGCAAGTCATGAGGACAATCTCGAGCTAGAAGGTCTTCGTCTCCACCGTTTACGATAGGCTCAAATCTCCTTGTTTGGACAGTCAGTCCTACGGCATCATATCAGTATTAGTTGGTCACAGATGCAGTACGGATAGGACACACCTTGGCCAAGTGCTCCTCAGACTCACTGGTTTTGGCTCTTGTAGCACGACCACCACGCTTACGCTTCTGGCCACAGTCACGAAGACGATGACCCTCCTCACCATGGGGCTGAGCACTTGGGATTCTTTCTTCGGGGCAACGCTTAGGAGTGTGGCCGAGCTTTCCGCAGTTGTTGCACTTGTCTACTGCACGATCGAGCGGAATTCAGGCATCAGCGGGACGTGTAAGATTTTGTTCTGGAGACGCAGAGGGTAGAGGATAGAGGGCAGAAGGCAAGAAGGCAAAGTGCAAGAAGGTAGAGGGAGAAGGCAGAGGAGAAGGTAGAGGAGAAGGGCACTCCTGAGGTTTAAACTTTTTCCTGGCACTCAGTACTCAGCACCCAGCACCCAGCAGCGCCCTCCTGGACTTGACTTTGTTCTCGACTTGATTGTGTGGTGATTGGAATTCTGCAGCCACTTGAACTTTGCCATGGAAAACAAGACCCGGGCTCGTTTACACCCCGTTGTGCACACTTCCTGGAACCCCTTGCGAATGCCCAAACTTTATACACCTGCGTCGAAGAAGAGCTGGCGCCCCTGGCCCGAGATACTTGGTCAAGAAATACGACGATGCCACTGCGCCGACGCAAGCAGCCCATGGCGAGGCTGGAGACTATCACAGCAATGGTGATGTTGGCCGCGCCGCCGAGCCTTTGATGCGATAACTAACACAGTCAAGCAAAGATGGCTGAACGCAGACTCATTCTGCTTGACCAAAGACAACAACAAGCAAAGGTGGCCGAATGCAGACTCATTCTGCTCCACTACAGACCACAACAAGCAAAGGTGGCTGAACGCAGACTCATTCTGCTCGAGTCCTACTACACCGACTCGTGAGAAGAGAACTTGCCGCAACTGCAGTGACGAAGACCATCTGGTTCGAGATCTGGCCCGAGATTGTCCTCAGCCTCGAGACGACTTGCACTATCTGCAACGACGAAAGCCATATGGCTCGCGCAAGTGTCCATTCTCTGGGACCATAGCTATCTATTCCGCTGATGTGGCCCTGCAGCTGCGAACGATGTCCACCATTCTGCATTCAATCGGCCGGTCATCCAATGAACCACGGCAGAGATTGTCAATTATGCAGAACGAACTGTGAAAGAGATGGATACTTGATGGATACTTGACCCTGAGGCATCCTGATATCCATTCAAGCATCGTCCAGACTGTCGATACACCACCACCTCTACAAACAGCAGGACATCGAACGAGATCGGACGGCGACGGAGGCGACTGATCCAGGCCAGTCAGTATCGCCGTCGAATCAGACGTCGGGCTCGCCTGATCAAGCAAATCACGTCACTGTCCAAGATACCCCGTCGACGAGACTCAAAAAGAAGAAAGCTCCGCTCCGTGACCAGGACTCATTGGATCTCGACAGCTGCTACTATTCTTGTGGAGACCGAGGGCGCCATCTCGATCCCGATGTTCGTGTCAGTCTCGAAACCAGCCGCAATGGGATGAGTGAACCCTTCTGTCAGGTGCTGAACCCAGCTAACTCTCCATATCAGCAAGCCGTTATTGGGTTTCTGAAGGAAGGCGACATCACCGACCCAACTATCGCCGTCGAAGAGCTATGCGTGTCACTCGTACTTCCCTCCCACTTCAGGCACAGCTCCTGAGCCAAGTCACCAGATCCTAGACTCTAAGCCATTGCAGAAGAGATGGGAGTGTTCTGTGCAGGTGCCGAGCTGACTGACTGCGTCGACGCGTTACCCAGTCACCGAGGAGTTGTTCTGGGATCGCCTTCAAGCAGGGGAAAATATCAACAGGCGAAGTGGCCCCGAACCCCTGTGTCCTGGCCCACTCTTGGAACAGCGCCTCAGTACTTGACTTCTTAAGCAGAACAGAGCACACCAAAGAAAGACAACAGCAAGAAACTCTGGCTGAACGCAGACTCATTCTACTCGAGTCCTACTACACCGACTCGTGAGAACAGAACTTGCCGTAACTGCGGTGACGAAGACCATCTGGCCCGAGATTGTCCTCCCTAAGCCTCGAAAGATCACTTGCAACATCCGCACAGCGACGGGAAGATCATCTGCAACGAGGAAAGTCATATGGCTCGCGTAAGTGTCAATTCTCTGGGACCATAGCTATCTATTCCGCTGATGTGGCTCTGCAGTGCGAATGATGTCGCCGTCCGTCCATACTGCATTCAATCGGCCGGTCATCCCACGAACTACGGCAGAGATTGTCAAATATACAGAACGAACTGTGAAAGAGATGGATACTTGATACATACTTGACCTGGAGGCATCCTGATATCCATCTAAGCATTGTCCAGACCGTCCATACACCGCCGCCACCTCGGCAAACGGCTGGACATCGAACGAGATCGGACGAGGTTGGCTAGATCAGATCTTGCTCCCCCCCCAGAAAGCCTGTCACGGTCACAGGATTAGCAACGTCGAATTACAGCGATGGCCGCCAGAAAATGCGCAGTCGTCGAGGACAGGCTCACCATGTCCTGTCTCTTGAGCGCCGCTACCTGTCTGCCGACGACAAGCCATATCGGCAACACTGTCACCGGCGTGGACGAGAGAAGCCAGGACTAGTGATGGTCATTGATATCCTGGTTACGGCTGTCCAAGCTGGATACACTAGTGATGGTCATTGATATCCTGGTTACGGCTGTCCAAGCTGGATACACTCAACAGCGTCCCCACGGAGCGAATCGGCCCATGTTTGATGATGATGGACGACGTCAAGAAAACGAATACTATGCTGGCCAATACAACTCTGGAGTGGCTCCACGTTGGGGGACAAAGCACAACAAAAACAGAATACCACAGAACGTTGCACTGCACTGACTGCGCTGGACTGACTGCGCTGGACTGAATGCGCTGAACTGACTACGGTGCACCCACTTACTGACAATGAAGCATACTCTCAAAGACATTCATTCAGCGTCTGATCCAAACCACACTTTTCTTTATCCGTGCGACTGTTTGACAACGTTCACACAATCAGAACATACGGGGCATACGGGGTCAAAAAGACGGGGTGCACAACGTCGGGGCAAACAATGTCGGAACAAACAATGTCGGAGTAAGCAATCCCGGGGCTGAACATGTCAAACACGATCTTAATGTTCGTGTCGGTCTTGAAACCAGCCGCAATGGTATGGGTGAACCCTCTCTGGACCCCAGCTAACTCTACAGTGCCCTTTGTCCTATCCACTCACTCGCCCAGTCACTCGACCACTCACCCACTGATTGACTGTGCTAAAAGGAAGGATAAATACATATCTAATGGCGAACAGGCTCGGTCTTGTTAGCCTGGCAGAGAGGAGAGTTGGCTCTGCGCATGGTTCTGGCCTTGCATATCTTAAATATTCCCGAGACAGCAGCTTCAGAAGTGGGCCACGTAGCAGAGCAGTCAGTCACCAAGAGGGCGCTAAAGAGAGGGCCAGAGAGATACTGGAGTTGCAGAATGCTCCTGGCTCAACACCTCCAGAAGGAGGCTAACTAGATGAGCAGTCATTACTTGAATCTATCTTCTTTGATATTGAAGATGCCAGACACGCCCGCCAACGGTGATCTGGGATGGGTGTACGACGCCACGTCAGCGACATGATGATCAACAGACAACGCAGCCGGCGGCAGGACACTTCAGCAAGCATTGAGATGATTGTGGTGGATGAAGAGGGAAAAAAAATGCTTGAAACATTCGACTTTTATACCCTCTACTGTACCTCTAAGCACGCCGCTCTTGTAGGAAGAGGGTGACGGTCTACTTTCAGAGTGTTTAGGTGCGGAGACCAGATGGACGGCTTCCAGGTGTCCAATGTCGATCCAGTTTCTCGCTCTTGAATTTCCGGCGGGTGTTCGCGAGCTCTTTATTGATTCTCTTCTCCTTCAGTTCTCTCGCCCGGGGTATTTCGGAGGTTGGGGGGGATGAACTGGACAAGACCGCTGGCCATAACCTTGGGGTGCCATCGAGGCGTCGTCGTCAAGCCGCATATATCGGCGGTGGCCAAGGACCTATGCTTAACTCGGCCTTTTCTCCTCGTCGACACCCCCCGCCGCGTTCGGAAGCCTTGCTATCGTTGGCGCCGGAAGGCACCATGAGGCCTGGAAGCGGGATCATTCCAGTATCGAGACCGCGTACGCTCTTTAATGACGCGAGTGTCGAACAAGAGACGGACAAGTTTGAAGTTTCTCTCCATCTTGCTGCGGTAGCTGGTGGGATCTTGCATGGGCTTGTTTGGAAGCGTGATCATCCCAGCATCGACTCTCGAGACCGCGCAGTCTGCAAGTTTGGAGATTTTCAAGCAAGGGTGTGTGCAAACGGCCCAAGTTTTCCCCCCTAACAA